TCTATTATATATAGATAATATCTTTTATTAATACACTTCCTACATGATATAACAATGTGGTAATATCGATAATAACGATACGCGTAGGGTTTAATTGTCTGTCTGTCTGTCTGCTCTGTCTGTCTGGTCTGTCTGTCTGTCTTGCCTGTCTGTCTGCCTGCCCTGCCTCCTGTCTGCTTGTCTGCCTGCCTGTCTGCTGTCATGCTGCATGCCTGATGCCTGCTGATCACCTGCCGTGGCCTGCCCATTACCAGGCGTAACATCATGTTCGTCTGTCTGGTCTGTCTGTCTGTCTGTCTGTCTGATCTGTCCTGTCTGTCGGTCGGTCCGTCCGTCGTCCGTCCGTCCGTCCTGTCCGTCGTCCCGTCCGTCCGTCCGTCCGTCCGTTTTGTCTGTCAGTTCATCCGTCCGTCCGTCCGTCCGTCCGTCCGTCCGTCGTCCGCCCGATCGCGTCCGTCCGTACGTCCGTCTGTCTGTTTGTCTCGTCTGGTCTGTCTGTCTGGTCATGTCTGATCACCTGTCCTGCCTGCCTGTCTGTCCGTCCGGTCCGTCCGTCGTCGCCGTCCGTTCAGTCCGTCCGTCCCCGTAAATGTCCGATCCGTCGGTACCGATTTCATCTGTTGTCCGCCGTCCGTCTGTCTGTCTGTTATCATGCTCCTGTCTGTCTGCTCTATCTCTCTTCGCTCCGTAGTCTTCGGTTGACAGATTGACTTTGCTCCGCCCGATATACAGCACGACGAAAGAATCACCCGCCAATACTATCCATTTTTAACCTGTTCGCCATGATTCATCCCCACCGTGTACGGGGGGCAGGTAAAATCAAGTGGGCAGGTAAACACGGCGCCCGACCCGTAAGCGGGATCACAAGCCGGCATCGGCAGGTGGGGGGCGGCCGACATCAAAACGGAGAAGTATGCGCGAACCAGACCTGTAGATCCACCCCGCCGGGTCTGCCACTTGCGTTTTTGGCTCGAAACATCCGTACAAAACTTCTGTACTTCTGTAGATTTCTTTCAGCACGCTTCCCTTGTATCGTGTTTTCATTATTCTCTTCCTTAACTATCTTCTCTTGCACCAGATCGCTGTCTTTGCTTTCAATTTCTCAGCTTGACCATTGTCCGCTATGGTCAGCGATCTCTTCTCACTATTAAAACAATCGATCACGTTAATACCATCGTTTAGTTCCTTGTGCTTTAACTATTATTTAACTAGTAGTTAAATATCGATGGCCATCGTCTTTCACGTTTGCTACGTGCCCTAGCACTGCTCTCAATCCTTCTGTCCATCTATGCCCCTTCTCTCACTCCCTCTGTCTCTCTATGTCCACTCTCTCACTCCCTCTGTCCCTCTATGTCGCCTCTCTCACTGCCTCTGTTCCTCCATGTCCCCTCTCTCATTCCCTCTGTCCACCTATGCCCCCTCTCTCACTCCCTCACTCCCTCCATGACGCCTCCCTCACTCCCTCCATGTCCCCTCTCTCACTCTCTCTGTCCCTCTATATCCCCTCTCTCACTCCCTCTGTCTCTCTATGTCCCCTCTCTCACTCACTCTGTCCCTCTATGTTCCCTCTCTCACTCCCTCACTCCCGCCATGACGCCTCTCTCACGCCTTCTGTCCCTCTATGTCCCCTCTCTCACTCCCTCTGTCTCTCTATGTCCCCTCTCTCACTCACTCTGTCCCTCTATATCCCCTCTCTCACTCCCTCACTCCCTCTATGTCTCCGCTCTCACTCCCTCTACCCATCTATGCCTCCTCTCTCACTCCCTCACTCCCTCTATGTCCTCTCTCTCACTCCCTCACTCCTTCTATGTCTCCGCTCTCACTCCCTCTACCTATCTATGCCTCCTCTCTCACTCCATCTGTCCCTCCATGTCCGCTCTCTCACTCCCTCTGTCCATCTATGTTCCCTCTCTCACTCCCTCTACCCACCTATGCCCCCTCTCTCACTCCTTCTGTCCCTCTATGTCCTCGCTCTCACTCCCTCACTCCCTCAATGACGCCTCCCTCACTCCCGCTATGTCCCCTCTCTCACTCCCTCTGTCCCTCTATATCCCCTATCTCACTCCCTCTGTCTCTCCATGTCCTCTCTCTCACTCCCTCTGTCCCTCTATATCCCCTCTCTCACTCCCTCTGTATCTCCATGTCCTTCCGTCCGTCCGTCTGTCTGTCTGTTGATCTGTCTGTCTGTCTGTCTCTATCTCTCTTCGCTCCTACGTCATTCGTTGACAGTTGAATTTGCTCGGCCGTATAAGGCAGAAAGATCACCCGCAATCTATATTTATTACCAGTTCGCCATGATTCATCCCCACCGTGGACGGGGGGCAGGTAAAATCAGGGGCAGGTAAACACGGGCCGACCGTAGCGGGATCACAGCGGCATCGGCAGGTGGGGGCGGCGACATCAAACGAGAAGATGCGCGGTGAGTGGGTGCACTCTCTCACCTAGCGGCTACAACAAACGCGTGGAGGTGCGGTGATGACAACACGTGTTCGCGTACACGCGCCTCCGCAAGCCCTTTCTCCGTTCTCCACCGCTGTTTGCGGTCACCAAGACAACGAGGAGGCCGCTCGTTACTTCTCCGCGTGACCCGACATCTAGCGGGCTTCTTTTTATTTACGAGTTTGTGTGTGTGTTTATTTGTTTATTTGAATGCGTTTTTTCCGTTTTGTGATTTTTTACATTTTTGTTTATTTGTTTATTTGTATGGGTTACAGAACGTAGCAGGAGATACCGAGAATGGAGGGGGGGGGACTTGCTCTGACATGAGCCCATCGTCGGTACTGAGACTGACTCAGTGACTCCTATATAACCCTGAAAAATCGACATTATTACCTCTGTACGAATAACGAAACTTGAATGCTGATCTTCGAATGCTGTTTATGAGAGATTTTTTGTTTGTCATCATCAACAGTATATATATTTACAAAATGGTTCGTATCCGTTACCGATCGCGAGTGTGTGTGTGTGTGTGTGTGTGTGCTTTGTGAGTACGAACCGAGGCCACTTCTGTGACGCGTAAGCACACTAGATGTCGGATGAAACCGTCAAAGCGTGCGCGTTCAAGTTCACACATAACTTATGAGTGAAGAGGTTTAGCGCACTGAGGTAGAAGCGTAGTAGGGGTTTCATATATATAGTTCATGATAGTCGAGGGCGCGTTGATCGGTGGTGTATACATTGGCTGGGATGGGCTGTCATGGCTAGATTGCACAGGTGCTACGTGCACACACCTGTATACACCTGAAGAGCTTTCCCAACTAACAGCTTCTGAGTAACACCCATGTTGCCGATTATTTCCCCGTAATGTTCCTCGTGTGTGTGTGTGTGTGTGTGTGTGTGTGTGTGTGTGTGTGTGTGTGTGTTGCACGATAAATATTTTTAATCATACATGTTCTTTTCATCGGGGCACTGGTTTCCTATTGAATTATTTTACGATAACCTGGTTACCATACTCGTGTAGAAAAAAGGGCACGAAATTTTATTGCGTGGATCAGGGAAGTATCCAGATGCATTTGGGCCGTTTTATTAATACAATGATAATAAATGAACACAAATTCTATTTACTACCAAAGTCTTAATAGTTGTATACACTCTATCGCTTAACAATTCGACGTAAAAGTCGCTCAGGTGCTACTTTGCAACACACAATGTCACCGCACGCACGTCATTGCGCAAAAACTCGCAGAAAAAAATAAAGAAAGAAAGAAACCTCCACCATTCCATCTTCCTCCAAACTGCATTTACGTGGAATTATTATACAATGGGGTCCAAATCATTGGAACATTGGCAGTCAATACAATTTGTGTTTATCTATCATTATTTTATTAAAATAAAACGGCCGTAGTACGATCAAGTGCCTGCGATCATATCCTAGTACAACTTACAAACGCACGGATGCGATACCATATCATACCGTAAGTGTTATCAGTGGTAGGATAGTGCGCAAACAAATACGCACTTTTATAGTAGTATAATGAATGAATTAAGCTAGCACTAACAGCATGTAATCAATGTATACATACCGACGTACTCGCTCTGAATCACAGGCAATAGGGTGCGGAGTAATAGGACGTCATTACATGAGCACGTCGAACGAAGGACGAAGCCACGCACCTTCTCGCCACATAGTGAGAAGCGAGAAGGTAACTAATGACTAGGTTGCGGTTAGGGTTATGTTTAGGGTCATGGTTAGGGTTAGGATTAGGGTTAGGGTTGCCCCGACCAGGCACTACGACTGTTTCACGTCGTAGGATGAAGCCACGCACCTTCTCGCCACGTAGTGAGAAGCGAGAAGGTAACTATAAATACTTGTGGATATCCTAGGGTTACATCATAAAACACATGTTCATCAATATTATCAGCACGTCGATCACTATATTGGTGACCTGTCTGTTGTGTAATCCAGACAATAGTTCGATTACGCGACAAATAGTTCGATTACGCGACCAGACGCGTCAAACCTCTTATTGCACAATGAGCTGGATTAGCAATACTGCCTCTTGCAGTGAATATTGTTCGTCAGGATTATATAGATACACTAATGTAACCCAACAAGAGTAGGGGACCAAACAAGAAAACCCAACAAGAGTACCATACTCCTGTTGGGTTACATGATTGCATCTAATGATTCTATAACAACAGCTCAACTTGATCACATGTACGTGGGCCATTTCAACAATAAAACAACAGTAAATAAGCACAAATTGTATTAACTACTAATGGCCTAATTAAATCTCTAAATTAATTCTCGAATTAAACTCTTTATTGCCTAATACTAATAGTAATAATTCTCCACGTAAATGGCGTTCAATTGCTCCTCTGCAACACACACTGCGCAGAAACTCGTAAACTATAAAGACCTTTGTGAGTTTGTGGCCGCAGTGCAGTTTGTGTTTATTTACTATCATTCTCTCTCTCTATCACACACACACACACACACACACACACACACACACACACACCCAAGTGCCTTTGAACTTGACACACACGCGATCGCTTACCGTTTCGCTGCGGCCGCAGCACTTGTGTCTGTTTGGCACTATCTACCAGCATCATGACCCCCGTCTCATGTACCAGCGAAGACATCATCCGCCAATCTTCAAAGAATGTCTCTCTTTTTTACTCTATTTCTTCGGTCACTTCTGGATTTCACGAGCTAGTCGCACTTCGCAGCACGCTCTCCGGCAACCAACTGTTGAATGATAGGCTGGTGGCCCACACCGCTGGTTTAATATGCGCCGTACAAGACAAACAACGGGTTGCTACCACTCACGCGAGAGGGAGTGGACCTATGACTGCTGTGACCTCCACCTCAGCGAATGACGCGCTTGTGGGTGGGCGTGTACTTCATCTACGAGCTCGCTCCTCATTGCCTAGGGAGAGAGAGAAAGAGAGAGAGAGAGAGAGAGAGAGAGAGAGAGAGAAGAGAGAAAGAGAGAGAGAGAGAGAGAGTGAGAGGATACGAGTGGTGAGGCTACTAAATCTCAAGTGTCAACAAAGAACCACCACGCTAGACAAATCATTATTATATAGATTATTATTATTATAATAGATTGCATCTATTATTATATAAGATTATCTATTTCATATAATTATCCGACTTGAATAGAACGATTATGTACACTATTATGTGAGAATAGAAGAATCACAACGAGTGTGAGATCCTTATCTAATTGAAGGAATAAGTTAAGATCTTTTAGTTCACTAATAACAAAATGTGATTATCGTGATTGACTTTGAGGCTCAACTAAGGATTACTAATTAACTTGGACCAGACTGTTGGATAAATAGAAATTATGGATAGTTATCCAATAGATTATCTATATATATTATAATGAATAGACTCTATTTATTATTATACTAACGAATGAATGTATTATTATAGCTCCACCATAGATGTATCTATTATTATATCCATCCACTAATTAATCATTTATAGTTCATTATATAATGGATACACGGATTTTTATTATAAATAAGATTAATGTTCATAAACTCTCTTATTGATAAGTAGTCGATCTCATCTGATAATTATGATGATATAATGTATTTATTATTATAAGCCTATAGATTAATATCTACCTATTTAGTATATATCAATAGAGTTATCTATTAGCTATAGGGGTGAATAGAGGGTGCACAATTAATGGCCACTGTTGTTCGCTTAACGTGCATACTATGCAAAATGGTGGCTTTATTTTAAAAACGTGGAAGTCGTAATAGATACGGCCTAGAAGGCTTTAGATTGTCTTTGTTTCGTGTTCTTTTTACTGGTCCTGTCCCGTCTTGTCTGATCGAGTCCAATGTCTTGCCTTCGTCTGATCCTGCCTGCCTGCCTGCTCCGTCTGCTTGTACCTGCCCTGCTCTGTCTGGCCTCTGTCACTCGCACTCGCAATGCCCTGCAATGCCCTGGCTCTGCCTACCACTGCCTGCCTGGCCTACCTGCCATGAACTATCTTCTGTCTAGTCTGTCTGTCTGTCTGTCTGTCTGTCGTTCTGTCTGTCTGTCGGTCGCCCGTCAGCGAACTCAACCGTGACGTCCGTCCCGCCCACGATATCCTTGTTCCGGATTAACAAGTATCCCGTCACATTGGCAATCCTGCTGAACAAAACTCAGTACCAAAGTAACCGTAACCCAATAGATCTATCCGTTTGCTGCTCCACGTCAGCTATCATGCCAAGCACACGCGCGCAATGCCCGTCGTCCGTCCCCGCTCCGGCCCAACAAAGGTACACCGATCCCAGTGCCGTCGGTCCCGCACCCGTCTCCGTCCGTCCGTCCGTCCGTCCTGTCTGTTCTTGTCCTGTCTGTCTGTCTGTCTGTATGTCGTGTCCTGTCTGCCTGCCTGTTCTGTCCGTGCCGTCCGTCCGTGACCGTCCGCCCGTGCCCGTCAGTCCGTCGCGTCCGTCTGTCATGAGCCGTCCGTTCCCGTTTCATCTGTCGTCGCGTCGCGTCGTCTGTCTGTCTGTTGATACTGTCTGTCCTGTCTGTTCTCTATCTCTCTTCGCGTCACTACGTCATTCGTTGACAGTTGAATTTGCTCGGCGTATAAGGCAGAAAGATCGACCCGCATCCTATATTATTACCTGGTTCGCGCAATGATTACATCCCCACCGTGTACGGGGGGCAGGTAAAATCAGGGGGCAGGTAACACGGGCCGAACCGTAGCGGGGATCAGCAGCGGCATCGGCAGGTGGGCGGCGACATCGAAAACGAGAAGAATGCGCTGTGAGTGGGTGCATCTCTCACGGACTAGCGCTACAACAACGCGTGGGAGGTGCGTGATGACGAGACACGTGTTCGCGTACGCGGCGCTCTCCGCAAGCCGCTTTCACCGTTCTCGCCAGGCCTGGCTGTTTGCGGCGTCAGGGAAGACAACGAGGAGGCCGCTCGTTACTTCTCCTGCGTGGACGCCGACATCTAGCGGGGTTGTCCTTTGTTTATTAGCGAGTTTTGTGGTGTGTTTATTTGTTTATTTGAAATGCGTTTTTTCCGTTTTGTAACTTTTTATATTTTTTGTTTATTTGTTTATGTTGTATGGTGTAGCGAACGGTAGCAGGAGATACTGAGAATGGAAGGGGGGACTTGCTCGGACATGAGCCGATGCGCGGTACTGAGACTGATCAGTGACTCCTATAACCACTGAAAAATCGACATTTATTACGCCTGTACGAATAACGAACTGTAATGCTGATCCTTCGAAATGCTGTTTATGAGAGATTTTTTTGGTTGTCAATCATCACGTATATATATTTACAAAATGGTTCGGTATTCGTCGTTTACCGGATTCGCAGAGTGTGTGTGTGTGTGTGTGTGCTTTGTGAGTCACGAACCGAGGCCACCGTTCTGTGACGGCCGTAAGCACAACTAGAATGTCGGATGAAACGGCGTCAACAGCGTGCGGCGTTCAGTTCAACAGCAACTTGTGAGTGAAGAGGTTGTAGCGGCACTGAGGTAGAAGCGTAGTAGGGGTTTCATATTATATATAGGTTCATTGATAGTCGAGGCGCGTTGATCGGTGGTAGTATACATTGGCTGGATGGCTGTCATGGGCTAGAATTGCAGGGCAGGTGGCAGCCGTGCACACACCTGTATTACACCTGAAAGAGCTTTCCAAGCTACAAGCTTCTGAGTAACAACCGCATGTTGCCGATTATTTTCCCCCGTAATGTTCCCCAGTGTGTGTGTGTGTGTGTGTGTGTGTGTGTGTGTGGCGTGGTGCGTGTGCGTGGTGCGTGTTGCGTGTGTGTGTGTGTGTGCGTGTGCGGTTGTGGCGTGTGTCGGTGTGCGTGTGCGTGTGCGTGCGCGGTGCGCGTGCGCGGGGGTTGGCGTGTGCGTCGTGCGGTGCGTGTGCGTGTGCGTGTGCTGTGTGTGTTGTGTGTGTGTGTGTGTGTGTGTGGGTGTGTGTGTGGTGTGTGTGTGTGTGTGGGCGTGTGCGTGTGCGATGTGCGTGCGTGCGTGGCGTGGCGTGTGTGTGTGTGTGTGTGTGTGTGTGTGTGTGCGCGCGTGCGTGCTGCGTGCGCGCGTGTGTGTGCCTGTGTGCATCCGTGTCCGTACCTACTCGCTCTGTATGTTCCAGTAAATAATGTTCCTCTGTTCTCTCTGTAATGTAAGCAGTGAAATGCGGACCCTAATTTTTTTTTGGCTCGAAACATCCGTACAAAACTTCTGTACTTCTGTAGATTTCTTTCACACCGCTTCGCCTGTATCGTGTTTTTCATATTCTAGTCCCCTCAACTATCTGTCTCTTGACCAGATCGCGTCTTTGGCTTTCATTTCTCAGCTTGACGCATTGTCCGCTATGGTCAGCGATCTCTTCTCACTATTAAAAAAGTCGAACACGCGTTAAGCATCATCGTTTAAAGTCCCTTGTGGCTTATAACTATTATTTAAACTAGTAGTTAATAGCGATGGCCTATCGTCTTTCACGTTTGCTACAAGCCCTAGCACTGCTCTCATCTTTCTGTCCCTCCATGTCCCGATCTCTTCGTCACACTCCCTCTGTCCATCTATGTATCCGCTCTCACTCCCTCTACCCACCCTATGTCCACTCTCTCACTCCTTGCTGTCCTCTCTATGAGTCGCCTCTGCCTCACTCCATCTGTCCCTCCATGTCCCGCGTCTCTCACTCCCTCTGTCCATACTATGTATGCCGCCTTCTCACATCCGCCTACCGCACCTATGGCCCCCTCTCTCACTGCCTCTGTCTCTCCTACTGTCGCCTCTCTCACTCCCATTTGTCACTCCATGTCCGCCTCCCTTCTGCACTCCGCTCTGTCCATCATATGTCCCCGCTCTCACCTCGGTCGGTCCTCTTTACCAAGCTTATGCCGACCCTCCTCTCACTCCCTCCTGTCTCTCTATGTCCGCCTCTCTCACCGTCCCTCTTGTCGCCTCCAATGTCCCGCTCTCTCACTCCCTCTGTCCTCTCTATGTCGGCCTCTGCTCACTCCATTGTCCCTCCATGTCCCCTCTCGTCACTCCCTCTGTCCATCTATGATCCCCGCCTCTCACTCCCTCTTCCCATTACTGCCCCGCCTCTCATCACTCCCTCTGTCTCTCTATGTCGCTCTCTCCACTCCCTCTGTCCCTCCATGTCCCCTCTCTCACGTCCCTCTGTTTCTCATCTAATGATCGCCCTCCTCTCATTCACTTTACTGGTCTCCTCTATGTCCCCTTTCTCTCAGCTCCCTCTGTCCCTCTATGTCTCCTCTCTCAGCTGCCCTCACTCCCTCCAATGCCGGCATCCTCACTACCGCCATGTCTCCTCTCTCACTCCCTTTGTCCCACCTATTGCCCCCTCTATACACTCCCTCTGTCTCTTTATGTCGGCCTCTCTCATTCACTCTGTCCCGTCTATTGTCCGCTCGTCTCACTCCCTCTGTCCTTACCGGTTATGTCCCTCTCTCACTCCCTCCATTGGTCGCCTCTCTCTACCTCCCTCTGTTCTCTCTATGTCCCCCTCTCTCAAATTCCAAGTCTGTCCCTCTATGTCCCCTCTCTCATTCACTCTGTCCCTCTATGCCCTCGCTCTCTCGTCACTCCGCTCTGTCCATTCTAGTGTCCGCGCTCCTCCTCAACTCCCCTCCATGGTCGCCTCTCTCACTCCCTCTGTCTCTCAATGTCCCCTC